ATCTTTTTAATATGAAGTATATAGATAAGTCTCATTTCTTCACTTAGAAAGCAATACACATAATCTTAAAAAGTTACAAGAAACCATTATCTATTGGAATATTTTTGGAAATAAGTACAAACATATATATTTATATAATATTTACTATGTACCAGCCATTACTTTAAATAATCCTATGAATTAAACACTGTCATTACACCCATTTTATAGATCAGGAAATTTAAGAATAGAAAGGTTAAGTAACTTGCTCAGTTAGATAGTAGAGCCTAGGCAGCAAGATTCCAGAATGTATGATCCTAATACTACTTTATGCTATTTAAGCACTTTATTTTTCCAAGACAAAACAAACCTCCCAAATTCTGCTTTTTTTAGAATACAGTTCCACTCCATTTTACTGTTTATTCACAACTGACTCTTCATATACAATTTCTAGCTTATATTGGCCACTAGTCAAAATGCAAGGAAATATTACTGAATAATTTTAAAGGAGAAAAACATAAGATATATTAATATTAAGTATCATCCATAAGGAAAATAGCCAGGATATAGATCAAGTATTTTTTTAGTCCTGATAAATTAATAAAAAACTAACATGCATTGAGTACTTACAGTATTCGTACAGCAGGCAGTATAGTAAGCATTTTACATGCTGGAGCCATTTTACCCTTTGCTATTACACTACAGAGTAGGTGCTGTTATCTTCACTTTACAAATGGAAAAATTAAGGATCAAAGTGAGTGAATTGCTTACCCAAGTGATAGAAACAAAATTTCAATCCAGGTACTATTGCAACTGCTTCATATGAAAGAAAGAAAAACATAAAAGTCTCAAGTCAGATGTCAAAAGGAAAAATTTTAAAAATATGAGGGTCGTTGAAGAACAAAGTTTCTTCCATGCTGAAGTAGACTTCAAATGTAGTACAATTTTTGAAAACCAACTAGCAAGATCAAAATCAGCCACAGACTTGATAAATAGGAAGCAAAAGAGTAAGCCGTTACTCTTTTTCCATTATGCCAGAGCAGGAAAATGTTCTGTAAAATTAAGCATCAGTAAAGTAAAGACAAAATGAAACTTTTTTAAAAAGCATAGGTGCAATTAAATGTGAAAATTACTCATATTGGATGGTAATGAAGCAGATAGTTTAGTGAAATTGAGAACATATCTGATTGCCTGTAATGGGATTTTCAGCTAGATCAAATCACACATTGTATTAGTCATCCTGAATCAGGGCACATGCTGATTAGCAGAACAGGTCACAAAAGAAAATTTTATTTTTTTTCTAAAGTCAGAAGGGCCATGATTAAAGAATATGATAATAGCAAGTATGCATTACATCTGCATATGAGAGAATGTCATACAGATTCCCCATAGTGTGTGAATGCATGGCTCCATCTCTAATGTACTAGTACCTCTTGCTTTGTCCAGTAAGGTCCAGTTCTCTACCTCACACCCAGGAGGAAGAGATACAGGCTTCCTGGGTTTTGAAAGAAGAGAAGGAGTTCACGGTAATTTCTCATGCAATAGAGGAATGGAACTACCTTTATGAGGCTGTGGACAGTTTGGAGAGAAGTTTACAAAATGGTTAAAAAACCAGGGCTAGATTCATTATAGAAACAGTACAATTTTCAACATCGACATTGAGGATCATCTGACATGGATGTTTATCTCAATTCTAGCACCTCTTGTGTGATCATAGATGATAAACCTTCACTTTAAAGTGTTACAGTTCTCTAAAGGAAAGGGTTTGAATTAGGTGAATTCATAAAATTGTATGTGTATAATATTCCTTTATTATTACTTCCCATATCTTATAGAAGTCTGCAATAGTGTCCTTTAAAAAACAAATCTAGAATATACAAAAATATTTCAGTGTTCCTTTGAGATTCACTGTTCATACAGTTCTATGATGAAAGCCTGTTCTGGGCTTTCAAATGTGTGGTTCTGCTAGACCATTCATCTCTCGGCAAGAGGGCATTCATATTATTTTGATTACTCAGATTATGTATTACAGGTTTGAATATACTTTTGGAACATATGAATTACTCATATTACTTGATTTTTCTCTAAAAGTCTATATCACTCTACTTTTGTTCTGAGAACTTAAACTTTCATCCTTTTTTTGCTCTTATCACTTATATTTTCCTGTTTTTTGCATATACTGTTTTAATATTTCAAGAGAGGGTCTACCATTCACGTAAAATTACGTTCAAAACAAAGTTGAAAGTAGTCCATGGAATGATAATATTTGTGAAAATCATACCATAAAAAACCCATGGATTAGAATTTATTCCCTTTGGAATTAACCATTTTTATGAAGTAGAAAATAAGCAGTGGACACTATTGTGAAATTCATTTGTTTCTTGCCATTGCTTTTTATAGACTTGGATAATGTGGAGGGCATTGCTGTGGACTGGATTGGAAACAACCTTTACTGGACAAATGATGGCTATCGGAAGACCATTAATGTGGCCAGGCTGGAGAAGGCTTCTCAGAGTCGGAAAACTCTTCTAGAGGGAGAGATGTCCCATCCCAGAGGGATTGTGCTGGATCCTGTGAATGGGTATGAAATATTTGATCAGCTTTGTGGAAGGAAAATGATATTAAACACATTTGTTTTTTCACAGATTTAGTAGTTTTATTTATATTCACATGTGAGTTCACACGTGAATGGTCTGATTAGAAAAAGTTACTATTTAGTGAATTTCTCTCTTAGAGAATGTGCTGAAGAAACATGTCAAAATACATTGGACTGAAATACACAGATTATTTGTATAAAGGACATATTTACTTGATTTATTCATACAAGCACCATAATTCCCCACTTTAGACAACCTGACACCAAGATAAATAATCAATTAATCAGAGAATCAATCAGTTTAACTTTTTAAAGGCTATTGGAATTTATTGTATTCAAAAAATAGCAAAGTTTTTTTCTTTGTGTGCATTTAATGTAGGCCTGACATTTTGTTAAGTAGGCTACTATTGCTCCTGTTCTGTAATCCTCACAGTAATCCTTGGATTTAGTTTTTATTCTCATCCTTGTTTGGCATAGAAGAAATTGGTAACTGATCTTCAAAAGACAATTCAATTATTAAGAGACTAGGTAGATATTTCAACCGAAGCCAGTTATCTCCAAGACTTTATACATGACTCTGCCAGTTTTTACTACTCTGGGTTGGTAGTCATATAATTTTAGACATAAACATAGTTTCCATATAATGACATTTTATAGTATTGACTTCTTGTTTTAGGATGGAATATTTTGTGTAATCTCTGTGAATATAATTTCCTTTGATTTTTATTCAGAAGTATTACCTGAACACAAACCATACTGTGCATATAGAAATATTGACAAAATGTGAAAATTCCTAAAAGAATCTTGGAATTAAATAAATAGGTTGCATATTTTACATGTATAGTTGTTGTAAGTGATTTTTATCCCTTTCATGCCTTATGTATGACTGTTTCAAAATAGCATTACAAAATGAATATTCTTTTTTTTTTTTAAATTGGGGAATTGGGGGAGTGGAACAGTGTTGGGGAATTGGGGAGGGGGACCAGCCAAGTTGTTATTCTTCAATCTTAGTTGTGGAGGGCTCCAGTCACCATCTGGCTTCCTGTGGGCAGCTCGTGGCCTCTAAGCTCAAGGTGCTGTGTTACAATCTTAGGGTGTAGCCACCATCCCATGCAGGAGTTGAACCAGCAGCCTTGTTGTTAAGAGCGCGTGCTCTATACACTGAGCCATCTGGGTGGCAGCTTACCTCAAGGTGCCGAGTTCAGTCTTAGTTGCCAGCGGGCATAGCCCACCATTCAACAGGCAGTTTTGTTGTTAGGAGCACATGCTCTCACCAGCTGAGCCATCCTGCCACCTGTTGGCAGCTCAGCAGCAGCTTAGCTAGGGTGCAGCTGTCACTAGCCCATGTGGGAATCGAACCAGTGGCTCTGTTGCTTAGAGCTCACACTCTTAAGCTAACTTAACCAACTGAGCCACTCAGCCAGCCCACAAAATGAATATTCTTTATAGCTTACTACATATGTCCCAAAAGTACTTAATTAAATAGGAAGCATGTGCCTCCCTTATAAACCAAGAAACCAGATTGCCGTTCCTAGAACTCTTTGTGTTGAGAATAGCTGAAAATACAGACAGGGTGCTTCTTCCTCGGCTGACAGCTAAGCAGCGATGAACTCTTATATGTGTTTTTGTAAGGCATAATTATAAAGTAATTTCAGTAATTTTATGTGAAGAGTCCGTAATTATCTGTTCTACTCCTAGACTTTTAAACCAAATCATCTATCTGACCTTTAAACCAAGGCAATCTTAATTTTAAGAGAAAATACTTATTCCACACTGTCTATTTGAAGCAAGTTGTTTCAAATGTATTTCAAAATAGCCTCTTCCTTCTTCGTATTCTGTTAGAGAAAAATATTTTCTGATAGAGTTAAAGGATGCTTGTGGTACTCAGGAAGATAGCACAAATATGGAGGTAATAGAATCATATGATTTGGAAGGAAATTTAGAGGCTACTAGTTCCATCTGTCTCTTAAAATTCAGAAATCCCCTTCAACACTTCCCTAGTAGGCAGGAATTCAACTTAGATTTGAAACCTGTAGCATCTACATAGTTTGCAGTATTTGTAGGCATTTCTGACTATGACTCTTTTATCTTTTCATTGAGGCAATATTAATATTCCTTTAATACTTGTCTTCCAACTAACCCTATATTTGCCTCTAGTGCTACAAAAGAATGACTCTCATATCTTCTATCCAACAGATTTTTAAATAGAATACTGCCCGTATGCATCAACCTGTAAAACACACACATGTGCATGAATAAGCATGTGTGTGTGTCTATGCATGTGTTTTTCCCTAGCAATATACTATGCCCAGAGCCCTGTGCCAGGTATGTAGTGGCTAATAAAACAAGCACAGACTTGACCTTTGTGAAACATCTTGTGTTATCTGCAAGGTACGGAGTGGTAAGATGGAGCAAATACATAAGTCCCAAATGAGCAACTAATGGAATTTCTACAGGCCAAAGTGATGGAGGAAAACCAACAGGTTGATATGATGGAGGCTAATGATAGAAACTATTTAAATAGGGTTGCTGAATAGATGCCTCTAAGGAGGCATCATATAAGCTGAGACTTAATTATAGAGAAGGAACCAGCCATGAGGAGTGAAGGAAAGAGTATTTCTGGTCAAGAAAATGATACATTTGAAGATCTTAAGTTGTGTAAAAGCTTGATTGTCAGAAGAACTGAAATGAAAACCGTGTGGCTGGATTGTCAATAGCAAGGGGGAAGTGACCGAGATGCAATTGGAAAGGGAAGCAGAGCTTTGCCCGGCATAATGAGAGCTTTGTGCTTTGTCTTCAGTGCAAGGGTAAAATAGAAAAATGATATAATCAGATTTATATTAGAAAATAATACTATTCTTACTGTTCTGTCGAGAATGGACTGGAAGATAGAAGTAGAAATGAAATCATATTCATTTAATTGTCCAAATAATTGTTTGACCCTAATATACTTTAAAAAAAAAAGAAACTTTAGTTTAGAAAACCCCATTTAAAAAAGCATGCTATAACCTTAATCAGAACATTTCAGGAAAAAATGGTTTATTTATATTTTTTCTACCATAATACCTGTTTGCAGCTGTACACAAAAGGAGAAAATCTGTGATTTTCTGTGATCACAGATTTTCTCGACCATAATTTCTTAGCTTCATAACCATTTATGGAGTTAATACAGGATCTATTCATTTATTTTTTTGTTAAAATATATTTTTGATGAACTACCATAGAGATCAGTAGAAATCAGTAAGACAATAATTGTCCTCAAGATGTTTATGCTATGGTGTACTTTGTGTACACACACACACACACACACGCACGCACGCACGCACGCATGCACGCACGCACATTACCTATAAAATAAAATAGAATGAGATGCATGCTCTTCAGAAATTCAGTGAAGTTTTTAACTCGGAACTGAGCTTTAGAGGATGAATAGGGTTTCCAAAACAGTAGAGTTTGTCCCAGGGTTTGGGGGTGTGTAGCCATAGGGTTAGTCATTGTCCTGAAGGGACAATAGAAGCTATTGTTTAGAGGCAGAGAAGTTAGAGGCCATTGTGAGGTGAGATGAGTTCATTAAAGCTAGAACAGAGGCTGTGAAGGAACCTAGTAGTAGGGATCTTCAGTGCTGTGATTAAAAGTTTATATTTATTTTGCTGACAACAGAGTAATTGGAAGGTCTTGAAAATAAAAGTCATATTTTTCAAGCCATGATTTAGGAAGATGAGTGATAGCAGTATGACAGCTGTATGAGAAACAACCTGTTAGGTGTTCCCTTTGAAAAGCGCTGAAAGATAGATTGTAGCATTTGCAATATGGACAGAAAAGTGGAGATTGAGACAGAAAACACTGGAAAAATAAGACTGGCAGGCCTCAGTGACTTGAAATATGGATGAAGCTGGAGGAGAAACCAGTTACGATAGCTGTTCTAAGCTGATAGTTGCAGATGAACCTCCTCCTTTGCAATAATTTCATATTTCATGATTTATATCAATAACTTAGAAACCTCCATTTCCAGTTCTCACTTCTCAAAATATTCTCTATTTGAAATAAGTCCAAAGCTAAGTGCCTATTTCCCCAAAACAGTATCTTGTGTATCCCTATCTCAGTTAGTAGTACCACACCCTCTACTAAACAGCTAGATAGTGTGTCAACAACTAAATCCATTTTTTCAACAGTAAAATTTATTTTACGTCCATAACAGAGAAACTCTTAAGGATTTAGACATTTCTAGGATTGAGCACCAGAGAATACAGTTTAATTTGGGGACCTGATAAATATCAACAAAGCCAAGCTTAGTGTTACAGGATACAAATATGAACAAGAAATAATCCCTGTCCTTAATTATTTTAGTTTTTAATTGAAACCATAGGATATACAGCACCATCAAATACAGTAAAAAACATAAATGCAATAAATACTATAAATTAACTTTAAAATGTCACTAGGAAACAAAGGAAAGAGCCTATTTGGACAGAAAGGCTAGGGATAAACTTAATCAAAAATTGTATCTGAACAGGCCTTGAAAAAGAGGTACAATTTTTCTTGCCATATTACCAGAAGGCCAGCTTAACAATTTTGATTTGATAAATAACCCAAGTCCCACCAAAAAAAACCCCCAAACTTCTATTAGTTCCTCCTTATTTTATAGGTTATATTTCATATTTTGTGTGTTTAGGGATCTTCACATTTGATATTGACTGTAAGGCTTTCACAACATAACTTTTAATCAGATAATGAAATGGGTAGATGATGTTCACATACCTACTCTCTGTTAGATTGGCATCGCTTAAATTTTTACTTATATTTTGTTTGAACAGAAATAGTCTTAGTAATAGATAAGATCACAAAAATGATTTCTTCAAATAGCAGAAGAATACAAAACATGTTTAGAATACCATAATTATCCTTTGTTTTTGTGTGCATGTGTGTGTCCCCATGTATGTGTGATTTGATTTAGGGAGTCTCAAAAAAAAGGGTGACTGTAATCAAAAGAAAAGCTAGAGGGAGAGATAAATGCAATTCTTGCAAATTATAAAATGGCCACAAGAATAAAATTGCATTGATTAACTATATTTAAGATTTCTGGAAAGTATAGAGAGGAAAAAGTTGCCTATTTCCATTTTATAGAGTTGATTTATGTAGTGGAAGTCAAATATTTATAGTTATACCTAATGAGTATAGGATTAAAGCAAATAGAATGACCCTTCTGTTTGTTCCTAACTTGTCCAAATAACAAAACCCCTTGAAAAACACACAGGACACAAGATAAGCACATTGTCATGTTTATTTCTAGAATTAGAATGTATTTTGACTTAATAGAATTCATTAATCTCAATATATTTTCTAAGGTCTAAAAAAGGCATATCAACATAATTGTAAACTGTTAGATTTTAAAAGAGCATACTGTATTTTGCCGTGTATAATGCACACCGACGTTTTCGGCCCAAACTTTCAGGGAAAACTTTCATTTTAATTTTTTAATTTGAATTTTGATTTGTTTACATTTATGTACTTGTTTTTTGTATTGTAAAAATTTTTAGCATTTCTTTTAACATATTACGGTACAGAATGTTTTATGTAACAAATAATTACAAAACACAAGAACAGATACGAGGTATAAGAAATTTTATGTACTAGTAACAAATTTACAATATTTATGCATCCTAGAAAGCCAAGAATTCTTCATGGGTGCAAGTTCATTGTAAGTTCAACAAAACCGATTATCATATTCCAGGGTATTATTTTGCATGCAGATATTGTTATTGATTTCTAGAGTTACACTTTTAACTCATAAGCATAAATAAAAGAATTAAAAACATTTATATAGATAATTAGTACTACACATGTATAATGCGCATCCTTATTTTCCCCCTCACAAATTTGTGCAAAAAAGTGCACATTGTACATGGCAAAATATGGTAATTGGCATGAAATAATGAATGGTGTGTTACATCCTCAATTGTCACAAGTCTGCCTGTTTAGGTCACTCCAGGATTATTAGTCATGGATACAAATTTTTCACAAATGACCTCAGAAATTCTTCAGGGTCCACAAAATGTGTGAGGCAGAGGATCTAATAAGGGCATTTCTAGGGTAAGCAGCTTAGGAAAGCTTTGGCACTTTATAAAGTGGTTTGTGAGGTGACTGAATTAAAACCTACACTTTAATTAATAACTCAGGAACTTTCACATGACCCTCAGACAACACAGGTGGAGGGTTTTAACCTTATTCATGAGGGAATTGCAACATTAGCTCAAGGGCTCCTCTCCCACTGTTAGAGCTTACACAAAAAGATTTGTTTTGAAAAGCAGATGCTTTTGTTTGAGATAGAAATTAAAGCTCAAAATCTCAAGGTCAGTCAGCCTGCTGTTATTAAACTTATGTGCAGCTCAATCATCTTCTGTGGGTTTTGGGGTAATAATAAGCAGCAATAAAGTAGAGATCATTTGCATCAGGAAGACAAATTAAACCTGGCCAAACAAATGCAATATGACGGTGCCTTTAGAACAAAAACAATCCAACCGCCAGTCTTAAAACATAATAATTCATATGAGATTACAAATAAAGTCAGGAGTAGATCATTAACTGTGCCCTGAGTTCTCATGTCAGTCAAAATGCTTTTAATTACATAATTGATTATAGGTTTCATGAAGTGGATAGCATTTAAAAATAATTAGCAATGCCTCAACAACCATTTCCCAAACTTGGTATCAGCACCAAAGAAAATTAATATTTGGCACTTACTGTTAGGTTAATTAATCGTTGAGGCCAATAAGTGTGGGGGGCATGGTAGTAGGGTTTCTGTGCTGGTTCTCACTGGACTGACTGGCTCCATTGAGCAGATCTTTACTGCCGCCTTCTTGTAGCAGAGAATGCATTTAGATTGGAGAAAACCCAGAATGTAATTAGATTTTATGAAAGTGCCCAATCTGAAGAAGTGTCCCTCTGTACAATGGCTGGTCAAAATAACATGTGTATGCTCTCGTTTGTGATGTCTTAGTTGGATGTATTGGACAGATTGGGAGGAAGATGAAATAGATGACAGCGTGGGAAGGATCGAGAAGGCCTGGATGGATGGCTTCAAGCGGCAGATTTTTGTGACTTCAAAGATGCTGTGGCCAAACGGTTTAACTCTGGACTTTCACACGAACACATTGTACTGGTGTGATGCCTATTACGATCATATTGAGAAAGTGTTTTTGAATGGAACTCACAGGAAGGTAAAAGACAAATGCTGCTGTTTTTAACCCACAGGCTTCTTTTCTTCACAGAGCCTTGTTGTGTTGTGTTAAAAATACTTTCAAGTTTATTTTTACCCCTCCGAGGTGGCTGCCAATAGTCTCTGTGGGGTGGCTAACGGAGGCTGAGCGTTAAGCAGTGCAGCTGGCACTTGCCTCCAGAACAGGCTCCACTCACTGTGGTAAGCCAGGATTTGTGAGATTTTTAAAAGAAGCTCTCAGGATATCAGAGCTTTTTGAAAATGCAGTTTTTCTACATTATTGATGAGTTTGCTGTGATCCAGCCACCCAACTCAATTTAACTGTCTTCAATATTTACAGCCAAAATTTAACTTATATATTATGAAAAAGTAATTATAATACATTTATTTGAATAAAGAAATTTATGACTTTGAAATTGAAACACAAGAATAAACTGAACTTCAAGCCTATTTGTATGAATAAATATCAATTTCCTTTTCTGTCTTTTGGTAGAATCCTCACAAAATGATTTTGAAATTCTTGGGTAAAATTGAGAATGCAGTTGGCTGTGTAACAGAGGCAGCGTAGAGAAAACATCACCTTTGTATTTTATCTTAGAATTACCTAAGCACATATACCATTATGAAATGACTTCAACTCTTTAGTTAAATAATGGAAAGTGGAATGTTAGAAATTACCAAAATGCTTTCTTTGACACTATACTTCCTGCATTTTTGGAAAGGAAAACTGCACAATCAGCCAAGCCTATTTATTATGAATTCTGGTTGAGAAATAAATAGTACCCTAATCAGACAAGACCCTTTAAATCATTGGTTTACTCTAACAGTGCTAGAAATATTTTTCTCCAAATGAGTCAAATTTGTTGGCACTTAACCTGATGTCACATATTTAACAGGCGCTAACTCAATATTTAGGGTTTTCCTTTGAAGATGTAGATATATACACAGTATGCATAACATTTTAATGGCCAGCATATTTTTAGCTTGCATGGAGGTGAAAAAATAAGAAAGCCTCAATTATTTGATAGATGAAAATTTGTTGTGAAGAACTCAGATAAAAATAACAAAATTTGAATTGCTAACACTATGTTATTTGGACAACTTCCTCAGTTTTCTAATATTAAATGAAGTGAGTACAAAATTCTTTTTCAAATTGTATATAATATCATTTTATAAGTGGTGATTATTACTGAAATACTCCTTATCTTCCTCTATAACCCTACATATAAGAGAGGACTTATCACATGATTGCTCCATTAAAAAACAATATAAAACTGGAATGTAAAGTATACATCAAGATAATCAGAATTGAAATTAGTCAATGAGCCTTGTTTATCTATTTACTCTACCAATACATTTTCCTATGTTCAAAATTAAAATATTTATTTTCCTCTCTGTCATCTCCTGGATTATTTCAATTTGCATTAGCCCAATTAAATTGGAAGATCCCTTTCACTCCCAATGTCTTAAGACCATGTTGTATCCCTTGGCTATTGGATGAGAAATATGGCAATGTACATAATGATACTAATTACTCAGGTCAATTTCTATCACAGGACATGATTCTAGAATATCATAAAGAAAAGACACAGGGAAGATTGTCAGGCAAAATAATTTTAGTGTTTGCATTTCTTGACCATATGGATAATGCCAAATATTAGAGAATTTAAATGGTTGAAATGTAAAATGGTCTCCTTCAAATGACATGTTCTAAAACATAACAAAAAATATGCTCACATTGTGAAATCCATTTTTCAATTACATTAAAAGAAAATATGAGTTAAGATATTAGGTAGATCACTATCTGTTATACTTATTTGAATATCATTTTCTCTAAATATTTAGTTATGTTTCTAAAAGTCAGTTCTGAATTTTCACAATGTGTTTATATTTTACAGATTGTTTACAGTGGGAAAGAGTTGAACCATCCTTTTGGACTGTCACATCATGGAAATTATGTGTTCTGGACTGATTATATGAATGGTTCCATTTTTCAACTAGATTTGATAACGAATGAGGTGACATTACTGAGGCATGAAAGACCACCCCTGTTTGGACTTCAGATTTATGATCCACGAAAGCAACAAGGTATTAAAAACCAAATCAAATTGCTTCTGAGTTTCATATATAATAGTACTTCACGGTAGTACAGAAAAGTTTTATTTTGACAGTGTTGCTGAAATTTTATGATTAAAGGTGTCTAATTACTCCAAAGTCAATCAAATCTTGGACTATTACTGTAAAAATGTATGATCTTATTGTTCAAATTAACCTGAGGGAGTAACTCAGGGAATTCTATTTCAGTGAAGTTCAAGGTTTTCTCCAAATACTTCCTTTTTGATATCATCTTCACTGAAGAAGCCTGCTAGTTTTTAGCAGTAAAAAAAATCTTAATGTTTTCAAAGAGTAACTATTGTGAGCAGTTAGAAAAACTTTGAGTGGGAAAGACATATTTTGGGAAAATATTTAAAAATACTCCATAAAAGAAAAATGTTATCTTTAAAAGTATCTTACTATATTTATCTGATTGTTTCATGTACATTTAAGAAACATTTAATTATTTTAGGTGATATGAAAGTAAAATAATCTTCTAAGATAGTCATATCTTATTAAAATCAGATAATATTATATGTTTTATCTACTATATAAGTAATTAATATTTATTGGGCCATCCATAAATAGCCTGAGAACTTAGATGTTAAACAAAGAAAACTATTTGTAAATTATGTGATATAATATTTTTGCTATGAATCTGAAGTCATTGTCCCTTTTTTTAATCAAGATAACCTTGTGAACATTTAATGAGCACACATTTCAGTACATTTAGGATAAAATTTGTATCCTGAGTTTTTGAATGCATGTGTTGTCAATGGGCGTTATCTAGCAGCAAGAGTTTTTTGAAGAAGTTTCAGATAATAAAGGATGTCAAAAGCAAACTATTTCAATCAAGGATTCCCCCCTCCTTTTTTTCCCCTACTGTATTAAAATCACCTCATTGGGATACAAAAGTAATTTTATAAAATAATGAAAATACATAATGTGAGAAATACATAAAGTTTCAAAAGCTAATGAAAATTTTTCTTTAAAAAGAGTAAAAATGAAGGTATTTCAGCTGGTGTAAACTGTAGTTGTGGGCAAGAAATAAACAATATAGCAATTGCCTGCATAGATCAAGAGGTACTACTTCCTGTCACATTCACATCGACCCTGCTCCGCCTCACCACCTACCATTGTCACTTGTCTAGATTAAATCAGAGACAAGACTTTGAACAGGAACAACCTTTCTCATCCCCTATAGGGTCTTGTTTTCAGGATTGTTGTTCCCTCTAATTTTACAATCATTAGTTTCCTGAATATCAGTACACCAATCAGTAATATGTTTCCTATTTCCATTCTCCTTAGAAATTGCTCATTTTGAATGTCATTGCTGAACTCCCTATTGCCAAATTCCACAACATTTTCACATTTTCTTTAGACTTCTAGTTTTAGAAAGTTGATCAGTTAAATGCAACACCTGGGATGAGAAAGGCCCTGGCTTATTATAAAATGAACTTGGGCGTAAAGCCAGATCCTAACACTTTCTCATTCTGAAACTTTGGACACATAATAAAAGTTGAACAAAGATAAGAAATGCTTTCTTCATAAAATTCCTATAGGAAAATGTTTTCATTTGTTATACAAGTTTAAAAATTAATAGAGTTTTATCTGTGGTTTATATTAATTAATTTGTGTTTACCATTTCTCAATCTAGAGACACATATTTGTAAGTTTCCTTTCTTTTTTTTTTTAATGTTATTGGGATGACAGTGGTTAATAATGTTACATAGGTTTCAGGTGTACAATTCTGTAACACATCATCTCTATATCACACTGTGTGTTCACCACCCAGAGTCAGTTCTCCGTCCATCACCATGTATTTGATCCCATTTACCCTCATCTACCTGTAAGTTTCCTTTCATATAAGCATTTCAAATAAATATTCAAAGGAGTAATGTTTCACAATCATATACAAAAAAATACATGCTTCTGATAGGAATGTGAGAAATATATTAGGTGTTCCAAACAGTGTCACTGACATATAAATATTTACGCTGTCCCTTGGATGGACAGTGTTCTTTTAAAAGTACTTTAAAATTAATTAAAGGGACATTAAAATGAAACCTTAGCTCTGATTGCTAAACTGTCTATACAACTTTTATTGCAGAAACTGTTATGTTCTGATTTACTGAACGTGTTCAGCCAAACTGATTGAATAGCTTTTGTTAAAGAAGATGAAATGATCAGTTAGTTTGAGCTTTCTACCGAGTCTTCATATACCTAAGATTTGACTCAGTTTATTTGAATCTTTGGCACAGACAATACAATATGGAAAGCATGTCTAGTCAACATCTTTTTTACTCAGTCAATAGACATTGATTGAAATTAGATAACCTACTTAGGATCTCAATTTTTAGTTTATTTTACTGCATTAATCAAAATAGCTAGATTATGAGGCAAAAGGCATTCAAATGTTCAAATACAAATATGTTATCTTACCATGTTATAATTTTGTCTCAGTGGTCTCTGGACTTTTTGAAGATGAGATATTAATATTTAGAAACATATAATTAGTGGCAAATCAAGTTTATTTATATACTGTCCTGTTATAGTATTTTTTCTAAGGATAAAATAGTTGCAATTTAATAGAAACCAAATCCCTCAGTAGTGCATGTCTCTGTCCTTCACTGAATAGAATAAACTAGTCTTATATAGCTTTGCACTATCTCTTTCCCTGTCTTCTCTCTTTTGTCTCTATGAGAAACTATGTTATATGACTTTATTTGTATATATAGTACTTATAGTCTACATTTACGTATATGTATAGTTTATACATATGGATGTGAACATATATGTATATTTATGATCAATAGATAATATGCATAACACATGTACACACACACACACACACGCGTGCGCGCGTGCACACACACACACACCACTCCACAGGAATACCATGAAAAAATATTCATGAATGCTGTTAATGTAATATCTAAACTGTTTTAGACACAGTGTCAGAAAATTAGCCAGCTAATTTGACCTCTCCAGATCAGGAAAGACTCATCAATTTTTTTTGTGAAGTATCAGCTTATTTCAGGAAGGTAGACATATCACCATACTAAACAAAAGCTACCTCTGGGAATGAATTCCTAAATAATTTTTAGGGATTTAGAGTCAAAATATTTTTTCCCATGCTACTGTTGTTTCTTCTGATTTAATTGATAAGCTTTCCTTCTTTTCTATTTATATTAGCTCTCTAGAACAATTTTTATAACCCTCTCCTGAATTTCCTCATATAAAGTACAGCAATTGTATAAAACCAACACACTTTTGCCTTTTTATTCTCTAGGTTCAGAAGCATAATTTTATTTTTCCCACAGGTTTGAGAGAAAGAGATAATCAAAATTAAGTACAATATTCTAAAAAGAGTTAATGAATGGTATCCTGAATAAAATCTATAGATGGGTCTCTATGCCAAATATATGATACTTATTAGCTAATTAACTGTAATTATAGCCACCAGAAGATAAGCTAAACATTCTTATTCAAATCTCACAAAAGACAGTTAATATAAGTACTGTTGATTTTTATTTTGTCTACGAGAAACACACGATCAAGTAGACATAGCCATTTGCCCTCAGGAAACAATGAGCCAGGGATAAACTGGAATTTGCATTTAGGTTTTTCTGACCACAAAGTATTTTTGTATGATTAATTTATGTCGCCAATATTTATAAAAATTTTATAACTTCTATAGTTTTAGACAGAAGGAAAGGAACATTTGTTTTCTTTAGTCATACGTTTATCATTGATAACTTTTATATTGAAAACTATTAGGTTGCCGGAAAAGTCATGATTCATTTTTCAACGAAAAACATAGAAAAAATACATCATGACTTTTCCGACAACCTAACATTTTTTTTAAAGTTCTCCTTGATTATCTTTATAGAACCCGGGATTCCGAGATCTTAAGTTACAAAACACAAGTATAGCAGACACAATATTTTTTAATTTAATGCATGACATAAATATTAGTGTCATTATTTAACAGACCTAGTAAAATTTAGAGTTAGTGATAGGGCCACCATCACAAATTTCTTTTTCTTTTCACATTTGCCATTTTGGAAATCATCAAAACTAACACAAAATACTAACTAGGCTCTTAATCAAACACACACACACACACACACATACACACACACACACACACACACACGCAGCTTCAAAGAAGTAAAAGCTAAGCATTTAATTCTACAAGAGAGAAAAAAGTAAGAAACATTTTATCCTTTCCTCAGATTGACATAATTCAAAGTTGATTCTTTTGAAACCATCCTAGATGAACTACATCTGGACTTGGGATCCCACTCCACTAGTGTTTATCCAACTTTTATAATGAATTTGAAGTCTAATTTCTTGTCTCAACTGCAAGTCAGAATATCTCTCTATCAAACAGAGAAAAGAACATCCTGAGAAACAGTCCAAGATGGCAGATAAGATAAACACCATGCCTGATGTCTTCCAGGATCACATCAAAATTACAACTAAATTATAGAATAATCAATTTCAAGAATCATCTGAAGGCTAGCAGAACAGAATGCCATGACTCAGGATATAAAGAAAAGGTTGCATTGAGACTGGTAAAAGAGACAGAGGCAGAGACATGACATGGGCTGACCCCAAACTCTCAGGTAGTTAGTGGTTGAACACCGAGAGGGACACCTTAGTGGCAGAGGTCCCCCGCAGAGGGAGGAGCCCCAGCCCCCAGCCCAGTGGGCCTGTGTCAGGAACAGGAGTCCCCCAACATCTGGCAGTGAGAAGCAGAAAAGACTCTGTCTGTCCGTCCCAGTAAAACAGAAGTGGCTGGAAACCCAGACATCCTCTTTCAGCGCCCACTCCTCGACTCCCTCAACTGGGCTCCAGTGAAGGGGTGGCAACTCAAGAGGTGTCAGAGACATACGGGGAAAGACTGAGTAGTGTGGCTTCAGAGTAAGGACTGGAGGGACAGCATCACTGTCCCTTTGTGGAGCCTGCCTCACGTGTAGCCTAAAGGA